TCTATCCATGGGATTATCCAGGCAAGAATACCAGAGTGGGTTAGCATGCCCTCCTCCAGGGGATCTTCTGATCCAGGGATCGAACCTGGATTTCCTGCATCAGCAGGCAGGTTCTTTACCATTAGTGCCACCTGGGAAGCCCAGAGCTACCATATAACCCAGCAATCCCACTCCTGGGCATATATCCAGAGAAAACCATGGTTCCAAAGGGGATATACACTCCAATGGCATTGCTGCCTACAAGAGCCAAGTCATAGAAGCAACCTAAATGCCCACAGACAGATGAATGGATAAAGAATATGTGGTATATATAATTTTTTCAGGAACCAAAAAAAGAAAATATAACATCATTTGCAGCAACATGGCATTTGCAACAACATGGATAGACATGAAGACTATCATACTAAGTGAAATGTTAGAGAAAGATATCATATGATATCATTTATATGCAGAATCTAAAAACATTATAAAAATCAGTTTATTTACAAAACAGAAACATACTAACAGACTTAGAAAACAAACTTACAGTTAAAAAAAGGGGAAAGATGGAGGCAAGAGGGATAAGTTGAAAGTTTGGGAATGACAGATACACACTACTATATATGAAATAGCCTTCCCTGGTAGCTCAGTTGGTCAGAATCTGCCTGCAGTGCAAGAGACCTGTGTTTGATCCCTGGGTCAGGAAGATCCCGTGGAGAAAAAAATGGCAAATCACTCCAGTATTCTTGCCTGGAAAATCCCATGGACAGAGGATCCTGGTGGGCTACCCATGGGATTGCCAGAGTTGGACATGACTTAGTGACTAAACCACCACCATATATGAAACAGATAACCAAGAAGGACCTACTGGGTAACACAGGGAACTCTGCTCAATAATCTGTAATAACCTATATGGGAAAAGAATTTGAAAAAAATTGATATATTTATGTGTATAACTGAACCATTTTGCTCTATACTTGAAACTAACACAACATTGTAGATCAACTATATTCCAATACAAAATAAAAATTGTTTAAAAATTGACAATGGACTTGAACAAACTTTGTCCAAAGCAAATATGCAAATGGCCAATAAGCCCACAAAAATATGCTCAACACCACTAATAATTAGAGAAAAGCAAATCAAAACTATAATAGATAACCATTTATATCCACTAGAATGGCTATTATCTCTAAACTAGAAAATAGCAAGTGTTGGCAAGAGTGTGAAAAACTGGATTTCTGTGCACTGCTATTGGGAATGTGAAAGGGTGCAATTGCTATGACAAATAGTATGGTGTCTTCAAAAAATTAAAAATAGAATTACCAAAACACCTAGCAATTCCACTTCTGGGTATTTCTGCAAAGGGATAAGAAGCATGAACAGATATTTGTATATTCATGTTAATAGCAGCATTAACACAATAAGTAAAAGATGGAAGCAACCCAACTTTCCATCAACAAATGAACAGATAAATAAAATGTGGTACATACATATAATACAAAGAAGGAAATGGCAACCTACTCTGGTATTCTTGCCTAGAAAATCCCTTGGAGAGAGAAGCCAGGGAGGCTACAGTCCATGGAGTCACAGAGTTGGACATGACTAAGTGACTGAGCATATATATAATAAAACATAATTCAGGCTTTAAATGGAAGGAAATTCTGTCACCTGCATAAGAATGGATGAATCTTGAAGACATTATGCTAAATTAAATAATCCAGTAACAAAAATTACTATGTGATTTCATTTAGATGAGGTACCTAGATAGAAACATAAATTCATAGAGACATAAAGTAGAATAGTGGTATCTACAGGCTGCAAGGAAAAGAGAACTGCTTTTATTTAATGTGTATGGTGGTTCAGTTTTGCAAGATGTAAAGAGTTCCAGAGACTGGTTTCATAACAATGTGAATGCATCTCTAACACTACTAAACTATACACTTAAGAATATAAAGCCTGAAAGTTTAAAACTCCTAGAAGAAAACTTAGGGAAAAGATTTTTGACATTGGTCTTGGCAATGGTTCCTTAGACAAGGCCTTCCAAAAACACAGGTAGCAAAAATCTAAAAAAAATTAGAGGGATTACACCAAACTAAAATCCTCTGTACAGCAAAGAAAGCAATCAATAAATTGAAAAGGTAACTTACACAATAGGAAAACATATTTATAAACCATATATCTGATAAGGGGTTAATGTCCAAAATATATGTACTATTCTTAGAATTCAACAGCATAAAAAGCAAATAGTCCAATTAAAAAATGGGCAAAGGACTTGAATAGATATTTTCTCAAAGAAGACATTCAGATGACAATAAGTAGGTGAGAAGGTACTCAACATCACTAATCGTCAGGAAAATGCAAATCAAAACCACAATGCAATATCACCTCACATCTCATAGAATAGCTATGATCATACAAACATGAGAAAACAAAAACAAATGTTGGTGAATAGTGAAAAAAAAAACACCCTTTAACACTGTTCTTTGAAACATAAATGGTACAGCCATTATGGAAAATACCATGGTGGTTTCTCAAAAAATTAAAAATAGACCTACTTTATAATCCAGGAATTCCACTCCTGGCTACATACCCAAAGCAAGTTAAATTAGTACCTTCAAGAGATATCTGGAGGCTCTCATTCATTGCAGCATTATTCACTATTACCAAGACTTAAAACAACCTAGACGTCCTTTAATGTATGGATGGATTAGTAAACTACACACATGTGTATACACAATGGAATATTATTTAGCCAAAAAAATCCTGCCATTTGAAAAATCATGAATGGATCAGGAAGGCATTAATTAAATATCTACACAGAAACAAAGTACTATATGGTATTACTTACAACTGAAAAAATTTTTTAAAGGGACCAATTCGGAGAAATAGAATAGAATGATGGTTGCTAGGGACTGGGGAGAGGGGAAAATGGGTAGATGTAAGACAAAGGGTACAAACTTTCAGTTGTAATTAAATAAGTTCTGAAGATCTAATATATAGCATGATAAATGGAGTTAATAATATGGTATTGTATGTCTGAAATTAGTTGAGAGTTGCTGCTAAGTATCCTTACTCTCTGAGAATTGAAGTATGTAAGGTGATGGATGTGTTATTACCTTGATCTTGGTAGTCACTCTGCAATATATATGTATATTAAATTATAACACTGCATGCTTTATGTAAATAATAATATTTATACATTTTATCACAACAGAAATGTTGAAAATATCTATGATGTATAAATAAGCTTAAGTTTTTAAATAAATCCTCCTCCCTAAATTGAATTTCCAAATATTCATATAAAGTTACATTGAATAATGGCATCAATTATTAGTTGTATAACCTTGAGCAGGTTATTTAACCTCACTGTCCTTCATTTCCTTTTTAGAAAACAGGAAAATAACAACACCTACCTCATAGACTTATATTCAGGACTATGCATATGCTACCCACTCCAGTATTCTTGGGCTTCCCTTGTGGCTCAGCTGGTAAAGAATCCACCTGCAATGCGGGAGACCTAGATTTTATCCCTGGGTTGGGAAGATTCCCCTGGAGAAAGGAAAGGCTACCCACTCCAGTATTATGGCTTGAAGAATTCCATGGACTGTATAGTCCATGGGGTTGCAAAGAGTTGGACAGGACTGAGTGACTTTCACGCATATTGGCACTGGTGAAGTGCTTAGAACATTGTCTGCCATAGAGTGAACACAGTAAGTGGTAGTTACCATTTTCAGTATTGTAGCTACATAACCACATGTCCTTGCTTTTTTAGGATGTTTTCTGATGATGGCTAAGTTTGATAAAAGTTAGAATTATGATGATCAAAAAATTATCTTGATGTTCTCTCTACTCTGAGTTAAGAGGAGTCCCCAAACAATCCAAGGGGACACTCTTTATCATGAGTGTCTCACTTCTTTGTGTGTGCTCAGTCATGTCTGACTCTTTGTGACTCCATGAACTGTAGCCCACCAGGCTCCTCTGTCCATGGGATTCTCCAGGCAAGAATAGTGGAATGGGTAGCCATTCCCTTCTCCAGGGGATCTTCCTGAGCCAGGGATCGAACCCGGGTCTCCTGAATTGCAGGCAGATTCTTTACTGCCTGAGCCACTAGGAAACCCCACAACTTCTTTAGTTAGAAGAATGACATGGCTAAAAAAAGAGGAGATTGGAGTGGGGTATAGTTGACCTGCAGTGCTGCCTGGGGAAGAAGGAGCCCCAGGGAAGCTAAGGGAACAGGAGGAGGGTTCAGCCCAGAACAAAACCAAAACACTTCGGCTGTCACAGGGCTGGGATTATGAGCAAGAGGTGGTCATTGACTCCTCTGAAGGGGCCACTCAATCCTCTGAGCCCTCAACGTAACCAAGGCCAACCCAAACACTGAGTCAGAGACCAGATTTCTACAGAGCTACAGTGAACCACACAGTGAGGGACTCCCCTCATAAGCTATCACCTTCTATATATAAAATGTGGCAATCACCATTCATGGTTCAACATAGGGCACACAGACACTGTGCCTTATCATGTCCTTGATGACACTGAGGGAGACAGAGGGAAAAGTAGATGATGGCTTTGTTCACTGGGACTGAAAGACAGTATGTTACCCTGAAATCCACTGTAATGCTATGCAACTAACAATAGGAGTGTTCAGAAAACCAGTAGGGCTTTTTTTAAAAAGGAGATCCAAACTTCATCACAAACTAAGGGGAGAGCAAGATGCACTGATTTGTTTCCAAATCAAGAGTCCTTTTTATTTGCTGATCAAAAACTCAAGGAAAATTAGGTAAAATAAATTGAAGGAAGAAAGAGCTGTATGGATAAATGAGAAGCTTATTCAATTTATGACCCTGTGTAGTAAACAGAGTTACTGTGGATTGCCTGATTACTTTTTTGGCATCTTGACATATATATGTGTGTGTGTGTGTGTGTGTGTGTGTGTGTGTGTGTGTGTATTTATTTATTTATTTTTTGCATTGAATTGTTCTACTCCAGTGCAACTTGGTGGTGTTTTCTCTTTGGCTTCAGATGTGTTCTAGGACATTCCAAAATAACACAAGAATCACTGAGATAACAAAGAAAATAAGGCGCATTACCATAAGGGACACAACCTGAACTGAGATAGGCACCCCTTCCTTTAGCGGTCCTGGAGGCCCACTGTCAATGCTTCCTCCATATCCTGCCTCCTCACAGAACGGAGGGGCCCAACCATACATGCAGTGGCAGTTTCTGTTACTGTTGCAAACTCCTCGGCGGTTGCACTTCTCCGGGAAACAGTCAAATTTCAGGACTGAGCTATTCACACATCTTCTATTAAAACATACCTGCTCCTTACCACAGGAGGTACCATCATTTATCACACCCAGGTCAGGTAACCCCATAGGTACCATGGCTAGATGATAGCCAATGCCCCAGCACATGAGATTTTCTTCATGCAGATGAGTGGATATCAGGATAGTGTGATCTGGCATATCAGGGAGGGTTTCAACATTTATACACTGGAGCCTGCCACATAAGGATCTTTCTTTGGGACACTTTTTATACTTACGAGCTCCTGAAATCCCACAGTTCCCATATTGATCACCTATTACATTAACTGCATCATAGCACTGATGAGGAGCATCTTTGGCATCAAGTCCAAAAATTTTTTGGCACTGCATATACCTGGATTGACAACTCTGTTTGAAACAATGGGCTTCATACTTGCAAGGGGTTCCATCCTGCTTATAAGTATCATTTGGACAGAAAGCTGAGGTCCCATTGCAGTACTCTGCAAGGTCACATTCATTTTCTTCCATCCGACACATGTATCCAGATGGACGAAATCGACAGTTATGACAACAAAGTCCAATATTACAGCTGGCACCTCGTTTGAATTTACAATCTGGTTGACAACACCTGTCTTCTTCACACTCCTCTGTTGAACCACAGTCACATTCCTCATTCTCTTCCACAATTTTGTTTCCACATCTCTTAACCACAAAGCCTAGGCCTGGGAGATTATTTAGACAGATTAATCCTGAACTTACATGTGAATAAAATTCGGCATAACTACAATTACTAAACCCAGTTCGTCCAGTGCCCATGATACAACTATGCCTACCCTTACACTGGCAGTATTCATAATCATGGGTCATTCCCACACTATGGCCCAGAACATGAGCAGTCCAAGTGGCAGGTCCAAGGATGTTTCTATCGAGCATAGAACTTGTAGATCCTGAAGGCATCATACTACATACACTTCCCCAGTGATGAGCAAGTGCATCCTTAAATGTTTTGTGAACATACAGGTGTGCCCAATCTGCTGGAATCCGAAGACGTAGGTCACGTGATCTGTACTGCACAAACTGGACTAAAACTTGCGATAGCTCTGGGAAATTAAGTGCTATTTTGTCTCTGTCTGTCCATACTTCAACAGCTAATAGTTGTATTCTCATACGGACATCTTGAAAGTAAGAGTCTGCAATTGAAGTCAGAAGAATGGCATCATTTATGACTTGAGTAAGATTGGAGTTCAAATATAAATACCTACTGTTATCAAAGACCAGGGCTAATTCCAAGTACTTTTGGTGCACATATGACTCAGTAAAATCTGGAGTCCTAGCCATGTTCTCGTGCTGGGCCATCTGCTCTATTGTTTGATCATCAGTTAAACCACAGATCTGATTAGGAAGTTCCTCCTCTTTCTCCAGGAGGTATACCACGTGTTCAAAATTGGAGGAAGCCCCGCGGGGCTGGATTTGGTAATGATCGGCGTCGATCTTCAGGATGCCCCGGAGGCCTCCTATGCACGTACTTATGGTAGCTTCAGAATCCTGATTTCCTTCAACCAAGCCCATATAGTTGCAGTCGCGGGGTATATAAGGGTGATCTTCCAAGAGTCTCCCCTGTCCTGTGAAGGAGAAAACCTGCAGATTCCGAGGCAACAGAAACCTCTTGGGCCACAGGTGAAGCACGCGGTTCTTGCCTTTTACCTGCAGGAGGTAGGACACGTGCCTGGCCCCTCGCTGCTCCCCTCCACGGAAGCTCAGCTTCTTGGGAATGGTGATTTCATAGGAGTCAAAGCCCCACGCCGGGTGGAAACTTAAATCCTTGCTAAGAGAGTCAACCAGTAGCACCGCCAGGAGTAGCGACCGGCCCGGGGAGAGGCAGGTCCTCACTGACCTCATGGCACAGCCTGTTCCCCCGTGCGTCAGTCCCTGCCACTGTGGCCTTGCGAGTCAGCCTTCCAGGGACCTCCGCTAGAGGCGCGGGGAGCAGTGCGTGCAGTGCGGAGCCCGCCGGTGCGTGGGAGCGCAGCCCTGGGCCAGGCTGGGTCAGGCTGAGGCTCGCTGATTCCCCCTGCAGGTGCACGCCCCGCCCAACGCATCTAGTTCGTTTTCTGGGCGGTGCCGTTGGGCGCACGTGGACGAATCCAAGGAAGGTGCGCGAGAATCAAATGAAAAGCCAGGCTGCTTGCAGGCTGGTGGGAGAAGGCAGAGAGCAGCTTGAGAAAGGAAAGGGACTAAAGAGTGAGAAGAACAACAGAGAACTTGCTAAATGCTCACTGTATCTTGAGCCGTTTCTTGTTTCTATAGATTTTAGGATACACCGGATTTTCCCATGTGTTGGATGTTTCATAGGCTGCTGTGCCCACTTCATCATTGTACTACTTCGTCATTCCACTTTTCTGCTGGGCTCACTTGCGGCCAAGGGAAAGAGCATCTGAGGTGGCCAGAGTAGCACCGGAGCCTGAGAAAATAACCGGAGACACTACCTTCCCACCCTCAGCCCTGGCAGCACCTTTGGTCAACAGATGAAATATGAGCAGAGTTCAAGTAATGCTCCATTTAGCCAAAGGAAGTTATGGAGACTTTACTGTGAATTGTTGGGAGGAACTGCTGAGGATCCACATATCAAAAGGTTGTGATGTGAAATGGGGATTTGGAAGTCTAGACCACATTCAAGAAGTTTGATGTGAAAGAGGGGAAAGAAACAGAAAAAGAGGCTGGAGAGTTCTGGGGAGTTTGGGATTGACTAGTACCCACTGCTGTATATAAAACAGATAAGCAACAAGGACCTACAGTATAGCACAGGGAAAGTGAAAGTGAAACTTGCTCAGTTGTGTCCAACTCTTTGTGACCACATGGATTATACAGTCCATGGACTTCTCCAGGTCAGAATACTGGAGTGGGTAGCCTTTTCCCTTCTCTAGGGGATCTTCCCAATCCAGGGATCGAACCCAGGTCTCCAGGAACTCTGCTCAATATTATGTAACAATCTAAATGGTAAGAGAATTTGGAAAAAAAAATAGATACACATATTTGTATAACTAAATCACTCTGCTGTATACCTGAAATTAACGTGCCATTCTTTTTTTTTTTTTACTGTTCAGAATATTTTCTTTCTTTCTTTTTTTTTCCCATTTATTTTTATTAGTTGGAGGCTAATTACTTTACAATATTGTAGTGGTTTTTGCCATACATTGACATGAATCAGCCTTGGATTTACATGTATTCCCCATCCCGATCCCTCCTCCCACCTCCCTCTCCACCCCATCCCTCTGGGTCTTCCCAGTGCACCAGCCCCAAGTGCTTGTCTCATGCATCCAACCTGGGCTGGTGATCTGTTTCATACTTGATAATATACGTTTCGATGTTGTTCTTTCGAAACATCCCACCCTCGCGTTCTCCCACAGAGTCCAAAAGTCTGTTCTGTACATCTGTGTCTCCTTTTCTGTTTTGCATATTTGTGTTTTGCATCATTACCATCTTTCTAAATTCCATATATATGTGTTAGTATACTGTATTGGTCTTTATCTTTCTGGCTTACTTCACTCTGTATAAAGGGCTCCAGTTTCATCCATCTCATTAGAACTGATTCAAATGAATTCTTTTTAATGGCTGAGTAATATTCCATTGTGTATATGTACCACAGCTTCCTTATCCATTCGTCTGCTGATGGGCATCTAGGATGCTTCCATGTCCTGGCTATTATAAACAGTGCTGCGATGAACATTGGGGTGCACGTGTCTCTTTCATATCTGGTTTCCTTGGTGTGTATGCCCAGAAGTGGGATTGCTGGGTCATATGGCAGTTCTATTTCCAGTTTTTTAAGAAATCTCCACACTGTTCTCCATAGCGGCTGTACTAGTTTGCATTCCCACCAACAGTAACACGACATTCTTAATCAACTGTACTCTGATATAATATAAAAAATTTTTTTCATAAATAAAAATGATTTTTTAAAAAGAGAGATTGTTAGAGGGAAGGGTCCTGGCCATTCTCAAGCACTGGTATAAAGCTTCCCTCAGCCTCCAGCAGAGGAGCGGGAATCCCTCAAAGAGAACCCCCTCCGGGGCGCGGCAAAGGAGGAGGCCTGTGTACTGTGGAAATGACCTGGTTGGAGATCCTTCTTTGAGTTCTTTAGGACATATACCCAGAAGTTCAACTGCTGATGGATTCCTAGAATTGTGAGTGTAATTGGCAGACAGTAAGGAAGGGCCTGTCTGAAGATTCAGGTTCCTAGTCAAGTCAGTTACTGAGCTGAGAGGCAGTGGACATAAAGGACATGAAGAAGGGGAGAACCCAGCAGAGAGCTGACTAGGGCCCACTGAAAGTTTCACTGAGTGTGCTGAGCTCCTAGTTCGAGCCAGGAATTACAATTTCCTCAGTCTGTAAATCTGGCTAATGTTCTGGAGTCCCCAGCAGCCTAAACTGGGGAAGGCAGTTGGGATCTGTCTTCTGTATTCATTCTATTTTATCATCGTTTTCATACCTATACCATTTTCCTTTCCACCACTGCATTATTTCTTGATTAAAACATTAATTCTGAAGCTCCTATTGTTAGAATTTTATCTTTGGGCTAAACTCCGCAGCATCTGTTTGTTAACACAAAACTTTATGGAAATAGCCTGCTTAGACCTGTTTCTCTTTATTTACAAAAATTAACAACAATGAATATGTATTATAAAAGGTGAGTTAAATAGAGTAGAAAATGCAAGGCTTTCCTTTATCCTTAGCCTGCATCTGTCTTTAATAAACTCTTCCCACACTGAAACAGAATTTTTAGGTATAATTTTTTCTCCATCTTAGGATATGCCATAAAATATAGACAGCATGTTATATTTAAAAACATTACATACTATTCATTTATTTAAGACACTACCATTTTTCAATATGCAATATATTGTAAATGATTTTCTAAGTCATTGATAATAACAGATGTAGATCATTTCTTTTTAAGCATGCATGCTCTTCTGTGTATGTATATAACATACTTCTTAGTCATTCATCTGTTGGTAGACATTTGGGTTGACCGCTGTGAATAATGCTGCCTTAAAAATGGGTGTGCAGCATGTACCCCAATGTTCATCGCAGCACTGTTTATAATAGCCGGGACATGGAAGCAACCTAGATGCCCATCAGCAAATGAATGGATAAGAAGGCTGTGGTACATATACACAATGGAATATTACTCAGCCATTAAAAACAATTCATTTGAATCAGTTCTAATGAGATGGATGAAACTGGAGCCCATTATACAGAGTGAAGTAAGGCAGAAAGATAAACACCAATACCGTATACTAACGCATATATATGGAATTTAGAAAGATGGTAACGATAACCCTATATGCAAGACAGAAAAAGAGACACATATTTAGAACAGACTTTTGGACTCTATGGGAGAAGGCGAGGGTGGGATGATCTGAGAGAACAGCATCAAAACATGTGTATTATCAAGTGTGAAACAGGTCACCAGTCCAGGTTGGATGCATGAGACAAGTGCTTGGGGCTGGTGCACTGGGGTGACCAGAGGGATGGGATGGGTAGGGAGGTGAGGGGGGGGGTCCGGATGGGGAACACATGTAAATCCAAGGCTGATTCATGTCAATGTATGGCAAAAATCACTACAATATTGTAAAGTAATTAGCCTCCAATTAATAAAAATAATTGGGAAAAAAATCAAATTAATTTATTACTGAGTTGAAGAACTGTCCTATATATTCTGATATATGTGCATCTATCAGACATATGATGTGCAATTATTTTTCTCCCATTCTGTAGATTACCTTTTCACTTTCTAGACTGTATCTTTTGGTTTGCAGATTTAAAATTTGTTGTGGTCATCTTCTTTATCAATTTTTTATTTTGTTACCTGTGCTTTTTAGTGTCACAACCATGAAATCATCCCCAAATCTAGTGTCCTGAAGCTTTATTTCTATGCTTCATTCTAGGATTTTTAATAGTTTTTGTTCTTCCAATTAGTTCTTTAATCCACCTGTGTTAATTTTTGTATATGTATAAGGAAGGTAAGGGTTCAGTTTTATTCTTCTGCATGTGGATATCCAGTTTTCCCTCAACATTACTCAAGAGACTGTCTTCTCCTTGTTGTGTAGCCTTGACATTCTTGTTGAACGTCATTTGGTCATATATGGAAGAGTTTATTTCTGGGTTCTCGATTCTATACTGTATGGTGTATATATCTATCTTTATGCCAGGACTAAACCATCATAATGACTATCAGTTATTATATTTTACCAATTAATGTCTTTCCATTAATTTGAAGCATCTTTGGGGGATTTTTAGCAATGTTTTATGGTTTCCCACTTTTTTCACCTCTTTCTTCAGTATATTCCTAAGTATTTTATACTTTTAAGGGCCATAGTATTATAGTATTTTAGTATAATGGGCTTGTTTTCTTACTTTCCATCTCAGTTTGCTCATTGATTTTTGAGTGTTGATTTTGTATCCCATAACTTTGATGAATTCATTTGTTAGTTCTAAGAAAGTTTTGTTTGGTTGTTGTTGTTTGTTTTTTTTTTTTTTGGTGAATCCTTAGTTTTTTTGTATATAAGACCATATCATCTGCAAACAGAGATTATTTAAATGCTTCATTTCCATTTTATATGTCTTTTATTTCTTTTTCATGTCTGATTGCTTTGGCTAGAACTTCCTGTACTATGTTGAATAGTAATGACAAGAGTGAATATCTTTGCCCACTTGTACTTGATCTTGAAGGAAAAGGTTTCCCATTGAGTATGATGTTAACTTTTTATTTATGACTTTTATTATCTTGAGTTAGTCTTCTTCCCTTCCTAGTCTGTGAGCATTTTTGTCATGAAAGTGTACTGAATTTTTTCAAATACTTTGCATCAATTGATATGGTCATATGTGTCTTATCCTTTGTT